GATCTTCTGTAGTTTCCTTCCTTACTTTTTTATCATCTTATTAATTAAAGGGGGAAAATAAACTAGAAATACACCGATGGTATGTGCCTGCATTAATGGCTTGCGTCTGTCACAATTTCGACCAGGACTGACGCAATTGATAGATCGGCCTTAGGAGCACATGGAATGGATGGGTGGGGGTGGGGGGTACATGCCTGCGTGTATATTAACATGCGAGCACGTGTTTATTTTGTGTATGTTTTACAGTCAGCGAGGGGAGAAGGAGTAATAACATTGGTTTGCTTTTTCTTAGTTTCCCACAGAATTCTTTCTCTGCTTCTTAATGCTGGACGATTTTTGTATGAGCATTTTTTGTTGTATGAAAGAATGTTGCTGTCAAAAAGTGCGCGCATGATGAATTTGTAAGGTGTTAGTATGAATGCGTTTTTAATCTCCTATGTACGCCTCGGGCCCATGTTGTGGGGAAAGGCGGGATACAAATTATGCTCTTATTATTATTATTATTATTATTATTATTATTATTATTATTATTATTATTTTTATTATTATTATTATTATTATTATTATTACTATCATTTTACCTCATATTAGCGCCACTGTTTTAACCCAGTTTGCATTCTTTTAGGAACACACCTTCCCACGGAGAGATTTTCTTTGAAGACAGGTGCTACCATAAAATTATGTGAATATTTTATACTCTACGGTAGCAGTTTGTTCTATCTTTTACCAAAGAAGAAGAAAGAGATACAAAGAGATGGGATCTCTAAAACTTCCACCATGACGTATATCTTATTGATAAGAGAAAAATTTCCCAAATTTAAAAAAAAGTAAATTGGGCTCGCAATCTTTTTGGTTCTAGGCCTTTAATCGTGGGTTTTATTTTCGTATGGAAACAAAGCTATGATGATCTTAAACTTGGCATCCAATCTTTGCTATACATTTAGCTCACAGAGCGGACGCCCGCAATAACGGCTCCGGGTTTTTGTTTTGTTTTTTCTCTTTTTTTTTCCTTTTTTTGTCAGCAAAGATTTCATTGAGTGTGATATATGAGCTGATTTTTGCTCAGTATGTTTCTGGGATATTTGGTGATAATTAGCACTCAGCAATACGCCTATCAATTGAAAGTGAAACTTTGCTAGGTTGATATGTCGTATGTCAGTGCAGGGTGCAGGAGCGATGTCAGCTTGGTAGAAGCTGTTGTGTGCAACGTTTTAATAATAGTAATGACAATGATATTAATAACAGTAATAATAGCAATAGGCCTAATAGTAATAATAATAATAATAATAATAATAATAATAATAGTAATGATAATAATAATAATAATAATAATAATAATAATAATAATAATAATAATAATAATAATAATAATAATAATAATAATAATAATAGATAATAATAATAATAATAATAATAATAATAATTTAAAAATAATAATGATAATAATAACAACAATAACAACAACAATAACAATAATAACAACAACAGTAACAACAACAACAACAATCCCAACAACAAAATATTGATATCTTATGTCGTGACAAGACCTTTAAAAGTCGAAATCTAAGTTCTCACAAATTTTGGAAAATGCAATATGTCACTAACAATACATTACCACCCCCCCCCCCCCCCCCCCCCCCTCCTCTTATTTTTTTTT